GCTGGTGAGAGAGAGACGTCTCGGTTGACGTTTCTGTGGAGGAGGGGGCGAGCCAACTAAGTGATGATATTGTATAGCATTTCTGGGTTTGGGGTCTTGCTTCTTCCGGGCTGCTTGGGCAGCCTGGGGGTTGGAAGATCTCTGGACTTGTAATGTTAATTCTTGCCTGTGACCCTTTGAATAAACCAGCACGGTTATATTTTTTATATATCCAAGTGGTCTGAGTCGTCCCTCTGAGTTCCTGGTTTGAAAGAACTGGACGTGGCTTTATAATAGAATAGAGCCTTTAGACTCAGACAAGACAACCAGGCACAGGGAAAGTTTCTTCCCCAGCCATCACTCTGATGAACACTTAACCAACGACAGTATGACTGCACAATAACCCTCAGTGCAATACCTGTAAATGTACCTCATAAAGATTATTCAGATACCTACAGGTCTCTAGTTTTAAGTACTCTCTTTATATTCCTACTTATCCCATTTCACAATGAGCATTCCTTTGTCTGTCTGAATTGTTTACTGCTTGTTTATACTGCTTATTTTGCATTGTTTGCCCTGGTTGTTGCTTGTTAATACTGCTTATTTTGTTATATTACACAGCCTTATGCTGGTTTACTGTTTACTTGCCCCTTGCGTGGGGATATGTATATGCACATTGAGAGCCGATGTACCAGAGACAAATTCCTCATGTGTCTGACACACCTGGCCAATAAAGATGATTCTGATTCTGGCTCACTGGACAAAGTGATGTCTTCTTTTGGGTGGAGGGTGTGGCAAACATTAGCTCCATCAAACTGAAAAACTTAGAAAAAATCAACTGGACTAGATTTCTAGGTTGAAGACCTTTCACCTCTCATCCAAGAGGCTTCATCAGTTCTGACTGACTGGTGTTGAGCCGGAGATATTTATCCCCCTCGGTGGTGTTTCAGTCCTTTGAAGGCCAACAATGTCCCCTAACGACTGAGTCGTTATAGCCCAGTATCGGTGAGAGTCGTTGCCTGTGCTTGAATCCTCCCGTGTCGACCGATGCCTATTGTCATGGTGAGCATGGTTGGGCAGAGATCTCAAAA